TTTTATATACCTCTATCATATCCCCCCTCAGTCTCCTCTTTTCTAAGCTGAAAAGTCCCAGTCTCTTTAGCCTCTCTTCATATGGGACCTGTTCCAAACCCCTGATCATTTTAGTTGCCCTTTTCTGAACCTTTTCCAAGGCCAAAATATCTTTTCTGGGGTGAGGAGATCACATCTGTACACAGTACTGAAGATATGGCGTAGCATAGTTTGATACTTCCCCTCCTTCTTCTTCCCCTGGCTTCTCCCTTCCAGCTCCCTCCTCCCAGGTTTCTTCCTCCCCTCTCCCACCCTCTCTCTTCCCCTCTCCCACCTCCTTTTCCCTGTCTCCCCGAGTTTTGTTCAATAAAGAGAGTTTCTATTTTTGAACACACGTGTCCTTTATTTTGTACATCAGCAAGGGGGGCTAGGGAGAGGTAAGTGGAAGGAGGTGAGGGAGGAATGGGGGACGAGCCCCCGATGTCCTGCAGCCGCCCGATTGACCCCTCCCTCCGGATGGCAGCCTGCGGCAAGTGCAGCCGGGCTGATGGCCGAGTCCTGTGATGTGCCGAGTGTGGGCATTCAGGGCACTCCAAGCCAGGGCTGCTTTGCTGTCCCTCATTGAGTTAGACAAGCGAGCGGGGAACCCCTGAGAACTGTCTGTCCGGGGTGGGGGTTGGGTCCCTTTAAGCACAGCCCTCGGCTAGCCTGAGGCAGCAGCTCCACGCTCTAAGTCCTAATCTGATGCCCTGCCGGCACTGCTTCCGGCCATCCTTAACCTCGGTTCAGGGTCCACTCAATGTGGACATGCTAGTTTGAATTAGCAAAATGCTAATTCGAACTAGTTTTTAGGTCTAGATGCACTAGTTCGAATTAGCTTAGTTCAAATTAACTAATTCGAATTAAGTTAGTTCGAATTAGTGTTGTAGTGTAGACATACCCTTAGAGGGCAGAATGCGGCCCTCTGGGATCTGTATAATGCCTGACGCTATCTAATGGATAAGGCATAGCATTAGGAATCAGAATGTGTGGTTTCTGTTTTCAGTTTTGTCATGGATAAATGTGCATAACCAACTCTGTCTCAGTTTTCTTATCTGTAAAATGGGGATAGCTCTATGCCTTTTTATAAAATACTTGGACCCTAGACAGGAAAAAGAAATCTGATACTGAAAAGTTTTTTAATCTCGCAAATGTTTAAGTGACAGAACCATCCTCCCGCCCCCCATCTTACCAAGGGTTCTCAATCACTTTAAATCATTTCCCTTAAATCAAGATGTCATTTCTCCCTAAAGAGATATGTTCTAGTTTAGCCACAAGATTATTGGGCTCAATGCAGGAATTCCATGTTCTAAAAATCATTTATTGAGGAGATCAGACTTGATGGTCATAACTATATCTTCCGGGAATCAGTGTGCATGAGCTTCAGCATTTATGAATCAGTGTAGTTGTACTGAAATCAGTGCAGCTGTACCAGTTTATATCAGCTAAGGACCTGACCACATGAAAGACAAATTGCTCTGTATGGGTATGTCTACACTACCCCGCTAGTTTGAACTAGCAGGGGTAATGTAGTCATCCGCAGTTGCAAATGAAGCCCGGGATTTGAATTTCCCGGGCTTCATTTGCATGAAGCCGGCCGGCGCCATTTTTAAATGCCGGCTAGTTCGAACCCCGTGCCACGCGGCTACACGCGGCACGGAGTAGCTAGTTCAGATTAGGCTTCTAATCCGAACTAGGTGTACTCCTCGTTCCACCTAATCCGAACTAGCTACTCCGAAGCCTAATCCGAACTAGCTACTCCGTGCCGCGTGTAGCCGCGTGGCACGGGATTCGAACTAGCCGGCATTTAAAAATGGCGCCAGCTGGCTTCATGCAAATGAAGCCCGGGAAATTCAAATCCCGGGCTTCATTTGCAACTGCGGATGACTACATTACCCCTGCTAGTTCAAACTAGCGGGGTAGTGTAGACATACCCTATAAGTGCTAAGTAACGATACAATTTATTTTTAAAGTAGTTGGAAATTAGTGTATAGGTTGTTTGTTTGTTTGTTTGTTTGTTTTGAGAAGAATGTTTCCTTTGTTTATCACAGTACCTGTACCAGCACCAGTCAATCTCAGACTCACAGAAGTAACAAAGCAAAGTTTCAGAGGCACTTGGGATCATGGTGCTCCAGATGTGGCTCTGTATAGAATCACCTGGGGACCATATGGTGGAACAGAAAAGATGGAGGTAGGAATGAATAGTCAATAGTCTTTAGTATGCTCTAAGAGCAGTACTTTTTATTTGAAATTAAATTAGTAAATGGTCTCAGTCTTGGAAACCCTTCAATGGGAATTCCACGTGGAGAGTCTTTTGGATCTTCTCCAACGCTTGCAGACAACTAAAATGTCACTTTTGTAAAGAAAAATGCTCTGTTATCTCCTTTCTTTCCCTTCACCCCAGACCATCCTGAATGGTGATGAAAATACTCTGGTTTTTGAAAATCTGAACCCAGACACATTATATGATGTCTCTGTTACTGCCATCTATCCTGATGAATCTGAAAGTAATGAACTGATTGGCAGAGAACGGACATGTAAGTAGTCAGTTCCCTAAAAGGGATAATATACATTTAGGCTACATCTACACTACAGGCTTCTTGCACAAGAATGGCTGTTCTTGCGCAAAAACTTGCAGAGCGACAACACTGCACGCACGTTCTTGCGCAAGTAAATTTACAATAAAGCGTCGGAACAGAAGGCTTCTTGTGCAAGAGTTATTCCTTTCCCCATTAGGAATAAGCCCTCTTGCGCAAGAGCTGTTACACAAGAGGACAGTGTGGACAGTCAATAGGGTTTCTTGCGCAAGAAATCCCTATGGCTCAAATGGCCATCAGAGCTTTCTTGTGCAAGAGAGCGTCCACACTGCCATGGACGTTCTTGCACAAAAGCACATATCTTGCACCAAAGCACATGGCAGTGTGGATGCCCTCTTGTGCAAGACCTTTTGTGCAAGAACTCTTGTGTAAAACAGTTCTGGCGCAAGAATCCTGCAGTGTATATGTAGCCTATTATTATTATTATTATTATTATTATTAGCTATTAAATTAGAATTAAAGGCACGTGTGCAATATTTTTCATAAATGCTTGTGCTTTTTCCTAGTACCGGAAATAATTACAACAACACCAGGTAAGAACCTGAATTCACAGATATGTTAATTATAGAAGTCATAATTCCCATTTAAAACTGAATGGTGTATTGATGATAATGATATCAGCTTGTTCAATAAATATACTTTTATATTTAGAATTATATTAAACATATTGTTAACAGGTTTTATTATTTTACAAACTTTCCAGTTAAATTCTCTTCTTGGTTGTATTATGAAAACTCTGGGCCAAATTCTGCACTTGTCTGGCTCAGTGAAGCCATTGGCATCTCAGCACACGTCTGAGTACAGAATTTGGCCCAGTATTTGAACCTTGTGCTTACCCTGTGCTTCAATAACTTCACATCAGCACCGAAGAGTGGCCCACGAAACCTTCAGGTATACAATGCGACTTCCAATAGCCTGACTGTAAAGTGGGATCCAGCCATTGGCCGAGTGCAGAGATACAGGATCACTTACCAGCCCACAACTGGGGATGGCGTTGAACAATCGGTAACTAATTTTTAAAGACTGTAGTTATTAGATAATGAAAAACCATTTTGACAACGTCAGTCTTGCGTTTAGTGTGTCAGAACAATTTAGTTTCAATTCAGAGCAGTACCAAAATTAATCAGGGACATTTTTAGATGAAGCTTTGTGTTTAAAATAAATATGCATATTTGTGTATTAAATATAACATTTCCAAGCTATTATGTTTTTTATTGGGGGGAAAAAAGTGCCCATGTGTAAAGTCCATTTTCCGGAGATTCCCCTGCATTCCGTTATCTGTACAGGTCAGAGAATAAAGTAAAACTGTTATAGTTTCCATATTAAATATGTACCAATGAAATAGAATATCGGAATACAAGCTCTGGAGAACTGTGACTCACAAATATCTACCAATCCAAGGCTTGTCTGAGATTTTTCACTGTGTGGTTCACATGCTAAGAGAGGGACTGTGTCATGACAAGAAATTGAAGATATTGTGGAGCATCCTCTAGTAGTGAATGAGTAAGATCTCTTTGGTAACTGCAGCTGCTGTTTACATGAGAAAATAATATAAGGAAAGCATTGAAGGTAATTTACTTATTTTAACGTGATTTAGCATCTGTGAACAACGAGGATAGTCAGCGCCATGTGACCAGCTTCCCATGGACCACCAGCTAGTGCTCTGTAGACCACTAGTGGTCCACAGAGTATAGTTGGACAATCATTGATCCAGACTCTCTCCCAGTTATGCAATTTACCTGAAATGTTAACTACTAATAAAAACAAACCATGATGATCAATAGCATGTCCAGTTGGTTGTCTGTACTTGTGGTTGTAGCCAGTTTTATTGCTAAAATCAGGAACAGAACAGGAAAGAATTACTATGTTACTAGTCTCCGGAAAGCTGTTTCTGGCATTGTGTGCATAAGGCACTCCCAAAACGCTCCCCCAAGCTATCTGTACTTACAGTAGACCTGTTCTCAAATTAAAAACATTCTAAGTCACCCAAGTCTAAAATTCACAAACTAGCTTTTTACCTTGCTTTTCTGATACCACAGCATACTCCTTACCTCTTGTATTTGAGCAAGCTGGTTGGACCATGAAGTCATCCCCTACCTAGAACCAGTTTAGAATTATCATGTATCTTTATTTTTGGCAGGGTTTATGGCAAGCCCCACATTTAGCTTTGCAAAGTAACTCTTGACATACGTGGGCAAAAGTGAACCAAATGAAACTTAGCATAAGGTTGTATTAACATACATATATATTATAATTTGTATAATGTTAATGTGATGCATAATACATATTGATATGGTGTGCATTATGTATAACATATATATGGTGGCTAATGTCCCTATTCTGTAATATGAGACTGTTGTGGTGATAATCACTGGATTCAAAGTGTTTAGAAAAAAGCCGCCAATTTTGGCACAATAATCAGAGAGCCTACATGTTCTCAAGCATATCAAGACAATATTTACTTTAGAATTCATTGGATGTTTTCACATCCAAGTTTACTTTTCTATGAACAGAATATATTCAAGCTGAAATGATTCTTTAAAAATCCAAACCAGTGTCAATAAGCAGCAGCATATGTTGGAAAGGCCTAGAAATATCTGTGAGGAATTAACAAAAAGGGGGTCTGTTTTCAACAGTCAATGCAACTATAGTAAAAAGTCAGTGAACAATAGAGAACTATCATATGCTCAATTAAACAGGGAATGATTGGCTACGAGACACTGTGATCTATAATTGGTGGTTTTCAAGTGAGACAGGACATGAGGCATTCTGTAAAAATCTATGAATACTCTGTCTTCCAGTGATGCAGGGAATGAACTAGATCGATTATTTTTATCCATTTAGAGAACAGAGATTGTCCATGAGGAAGCCTCCTAGAATGCATCTATACTGCACTGTTATTTTGAGATTATTAGCATTATTGCGAAATAACAATGTGAGCGTCTACACAGCCATTCAGTTATTTCAAAATAATTTCAGAATAACAGACAGCTTATTCTGAAATCTGTAAACCTCGTTCTACAAGGAATAACGCCTATTCTGAAATTGCTATTTCAAAATAAGGCATGGGAAGATGTTTCACTGCTGCTATTTTGAAATAGTCCCTCACCAGGGCCATTCTAAGTTATTCCTCCCCAGTGCCTCCTGGGGCTCTAAATCAAGATAGCACATCTACATTAGGGAAGCCTGCCTCGGACTGATTTTGAGGCTTCCTTGCAGTGTAGACGTGCTATTTCAAAATAAGCTATTTTGGAATAATTATTCTGGAATATCTTATTTTGAAATACCCGTGCAGTGTAGACATACCCCTACACTGGAGTGTAGAGTGTTCCACAGAAGAAAAATGTTGAGTGCCATTGGTCTGGCAATATCCCAAGTGTTCCTTTCCAAACCTCACATTTATATTATATAATATATATTTTCTGGATTTAAGTACATTGATCAACAAAATCCGTATTTGTTAATGATTATCACCCACATGAATCATTGCTCGACTACCTTTCTGTTGTGGCTATTTGATTAAACTGTGGGTACTGTTGGATTATATCAGTGCCTCTTCTAAAACTTTAAAAGCCAGATTTTCAGAAAGAGGCTCTAGGTTTCTTTCAAAGTCTGGTTGGTTGCCTAACAGCCCGAAGCAGGGGAGGGGTAAAGTGGTTTAAATGCTCACCTTAGGATTGGACCAATACCAGTGATTTCAGGCCAGATTTGTAAAGGTATTTAGGCACTTAAAGATGGAGATAGGTGCCTAGTGGTATTTTCAAAAGCACCCGGGCTCCTTACTTGCAGTGGGAGTTAGTCAGGTACCTAGGAACTAGTGAAAATCCTACTGGGTACTGCCTATGATAACTACGTATGAATATTGAGGATATAAACCCATTATTTAGATGTCTTGTTTCATTAGCATTTGCTACAGGTGGTTCCACTAAAGACTGTAGATTACCCTGAAATTTAGAATGAGTCAGTGGATGGGCACTAGTTAAAAACATCTGGATTCCAGTATAATGTCCAGATGTTTAAATGCTTATTCATTATGGGAGTTCTCAACAGATTCTAATTGCTGTGGCATAAACATGTGAATTCAGTAGACTGTAAAAAATGTACAAATTGTACAGGAAGATTGTTAGGCTACATTAAGCAATGTATAAAACCACTGATTTCACATAATGAAAGAAAATTGAGCCTGCTAAAGTGGTGCCATTCTCAGCTCACTGAAAAACTTTGCCTAGCTATGGTCTGACAAGAGCTATAATTACATGGTTCACTCTCTGGATGCGTCTACACTGGCATGATTTTGCGCAAATACTTTTAACTGAAAAGTTTTTCCGTTAAAAGTATTTGCGCAAGAGAGCATCTATACTGGCATGTACCTTTACGCAAAAGATTTGCTTTTGCGCAAAAGCATCCGTGCCAGTATAGACGCTCTCTTGTGCAAGAAAGCTCCGATGGCCATTTTAGCCATCGGGCTTTCTTGCACAAGAAATTGATGTTACCTGTCTACACTGGCCTCTTGCGCAAGAACACTTGTGCAAGAGGACTTATCCCTGAGTGGGAGCATTAGACTGTGCAAGAAGCACTGATTTCATACAGTAGAACATCAGTGTTCTTGCGCAAAATCTTGCCAGTGTGGACACAGCCTTTCAGTATAATTGAAGTAAAAGGTTTATTATATTTTAGGACATTTCTAGAATCTACATGCAATGAAAATGAGGCTGGAATGTCATATTATATAATTATTTCTACAAAGTATTGAAATATACCTGAGATATGGGTATGGCGAGCCTGCTGAAAAGCTCATTGAAGTTAATGGAAAAACTTCCATTGACTTCAATGATCTATGGATCAGGTCCCATGTGGGAAGAGATGTCTCTACATTGGCACTAAAAAGATTGATGGTCGAAATTTAATTGTTATGTACAAGTTTGGAAATCTTTTAACTAGGGATGTTAAATTTAGTCTAATCAACTAGTTGATGGATTTTCCATTGACTGGTCAATAAGCAAGGGAGCCACAGTGGGGCTAGCTAACACTCCTGGTCCTGAGAGTTAACACTGCTGCAGCTCTGCCTTTTAAATGTAATGTGCATTTAAAAAGCAGAGGCACAAAGTCTGGGACTGGGCACAAGCTGGGAATCAGTTGATTCATGGCTTGCGCAAGGTCCCCACTACCCCCCTGCCTTCCTAGCCTCCGTGAAAGCCAGTGCAGGGGGGAATTGGCTTTTAAGCCGACTCCCCCCAGCACCAGCTCTTGCTTACCCCCTTACTACCTCTGATAGAGGCAGCAAGCAGGGAGAGAGGAGCGACTAGTCAAGGGACTAGTCTACTATCTGATAAACTTTTTCTTATTGAATAGTTGACTAGTCGCTTACATCCCTACTTTTACAAATGCTAGCTTTGTATTACTGTAGCCTTTTTATACCAGGCTTCATGAACATGCCATAATGACCTGAATGTAATTACTGTTTCATTATTAGTTAATTTTCAGAACATGACAGGAGCAATCACCGTATCATCTATACAGGATTATTTTGTGTATCAAATACTTATATCCTTTACTACAACAATAAGGTTTAGCAAAGAAGTGATTTAAATAGTTCTTCTTTTTTTGACTCCAGATGCAGGTAGGTGGGAGGCAGAACAGTATAGTGCTACAGAAGCTGCAGCCAGACACGCCATACACTATTACTGTATCGTCTATGTATGCGGATGGAGAAGGAGGACGAATGACAGGCAGGGGCAAGACCAGTAAGTGAAAGAACTTTTTGTGGTGTTTTCATTAGTGAGTGGCTGAGAGACCACATTTATACCTTGTATTGGAGATCAACAAACTGATTAGTTTTGGTGAGGAGGGTCTTATTGTCTGGACCTTTTTGAGTATAATTCACCTCAATTTGACCCCACTACACAGCTTAAAATCTTGAAATCTCCTCTCCCAAAGGTACAGGGAGGCTACTTCATCCCATGTGTTAATTGTAGTGAATTTGCCTGAGAGGGAGAGTGAAGGATGTGGCTGGGGAGCTCCTGAGCACAAATGCTCCAGTACAGCTCCTCTACTGGGTTGTGACAGCAGCATGAGGAGCAGCTGCCTTCCCTCAGTGTGGGAGGTGCCTGGAGGTGGCCACAGGGGTGTAGCTTGTCTTGGGGAGAGCTTGCTTTGATATTTCACCCTTCTTGCTCCTTCCCTGGGATGGAAGAGGGGATACACCCTCTGCTT